AGTCAGAATTGGATTAATGAGAACGGGGACTAGTTTGTGTCCCTAGTAAGTACAGATACTCAATATCATGTCTATCCACCAAAAGACTGTGACTATAATTATCCATTTTGGTAGCAGCTGTTTAAACCAAAATGTTCTTCTGATAGGGTTTATGGCTGATCATTTTAGATGTATCAAATAATATTTCTGCCTTTCCCAGACAGGATGGGGAAAATGCCTAAAAGTAAAAATTGTCTAAACCTTAATTTTACTGTCCAAATAGGCTGAGGTTTGCGTTTGTTAAGGAAATGGTTCTGAATTTTATCTTAGTTTTCCACTACTTAAATCTTATATTTGTCCCTTTGCTTGAAAATCAGCAATGCTTGTCTTACATGTGACAGCAAAGGTCAGAAGTGACGCCTAAGTGGGAAACAGTGCCTTACGGCCAAAGTAACCTAAAAGTATTTATTTTTCAGTCAGCTCCATGCTTAAAGTCACAATAGAAACAAAATTGTATCTGGAAAGGCTTAGGAGTAGGGTAGTTTTTTAAATGCTAGGTTTGTTAAATGAGACAGTGAAACACGTATACCATTAGTGCTTTAGAAAACCTGGTGGGTTATTCTTGTCCTAAAGTACTTAATTTCAAAAGAAGCAATACATTTCTTAGTTTAATCATTCAAGTTTCAGAAGGTAGATTAAAGTGAAAACAAATTGTGGCTTTGTCATAGAATTGACTGTTGCTTTCTTAAAATTCTTTTTTGTTCCAGATAAAGGAAACACTGTTGATATCTAGGTTTATAGCTACTACAGTAGTTGACTGTTGTTATGTATGTATGTTCCTTACTGGGAGACTTAGAAACACCAAAATTAAGTAGTTGCACATGTATAGTGGTATAATGTGTGCATGCATCTTTATCTCTTCATTAAAGCAGAGTAAGGATATCAAATTTATTTTGAAATTTTTGAACTACCTCATTGACTATGTTTGTGTAACTAAGCCTTACATATTAAATTATTCATACTTTAATCTAAATTTATGTGTCTTTGTGTTTCCTGGACAGTTCTGTGATTAAAAATCAATGAATAAACTGCACGTAGAAAACAAAAAGCCTAGAAATAATACAGCTTGTCCTGACTACTTGCTTCTTCCCCTTCCTCTCATGCCTTCCCTTTTTATGTCTTTATTTTTGTAAATATTCTAAGTCTGAGAGACTTATGATGAAGTGTTGAATTTTCTCAAGCTATGCTACCTGACCCCCTATCACTGAAATGGGAAGATCCTTTTCCTGTTGTTCTTTGCTTAGGCAAACCAAAGGCTGACATAGTGGTCAATATTTTACTATACTGGCTACAAACAAAGGAAGCAAAACTAGTGAATTGTTTTCTGTGAGGTGAGTTGAATCAGTTCAGTGTGGAAGGTCAGATGTTCACCAGATGAGACCCTCGGATGAGTTCTGTGTTTTGTTTTGGGCTTTTTTTGTTTGTTTGTTTGTTTTTTAATGTTTTGAACAACACAGTATTTTATCTGGTGAGGATCACTGAGTGCTGTCAAATGTTAAGCAACCTGTTTGTCTTTCTAGTCTTTATTAGAATCCTGAATGCTGTATTTAGTTGTGTCTAGGTTTTAATGATTACTGAAATGTGTTCTTCCAAGTGCCATTTTAGAGATGAAACTATTAAATAGACAAACCATAGTATTCTTATTAAAATAATTTAAAAAATAAAAACAACAGAAAAAAAATAATCTTTTCCAGCTTCTGTGAACTGAGAAAAGTTGGGATTCATGGTTTCATGGTGCTCTGTATGTAGAGATACAGGCACAACCTGACTGAAAGCTTGAGTCTGACTTTAGACTATGAGGAACATATTCCTTTGCATTGCATCTTCAATCAATTTTACGTGAAAGTGGTTAAATCAGTAATGCCAGTGGAAGGTTATTTTTCATGTTCCAGTCTTTAGGGAAGCAAATTCTATTTTTAAATGCATTCTGGAGTTGTCTCTCAGCTTTAGTTAGGGGCTAGGGATGCCCTTGTTTTTTTTTTCTCTTTCTCATCACCTGAAAACGTCAAGGTGATGGAAATTCAGAGAAAAGGCAAGGATCAAAGTCTTTGCAGGGCTGCTGAAGGTGTGTCTAACCTATAAGATACTTGAGGCTGTAAGATGTCAATTATTTTACAGCTTTATAGGTATTATTTATTTATATTATAAATAGTACTTTGCAATAATATTTGTGTTTGTTTAAAAAATACAATTTTTGATAAAACTATTTTTGGGAACACTGTCCACAGTCTTATCCAAATCTTCAGTCATGGCCCATTAACCTATTTTTTGTGAGGTTTCACCAGGATAACTTTTACCCCAACAATGTTAAATTGTTTGCTAGTACATGCAAGAAAAAGTAAAATCACTGTGACTTTACATCTGTACAATTTACTCATTGTACAGATGTACAAATTACTAATTGTACAGATAGTCAAATTACTAATAAAGAAGGAGCTAGACAACTTGTGAAGTTTGGAGTCAGTATAATTATGTGTGTCTTAAAGATAAAACCCCATTGAAATTAAGTGTAATACTGAAAAAAGTGGTTTTGTGGATGAAAATGAGCTAATTGGTTTTGGAAGAACAAATTCTTGTTCTCCACTCAGTGTTGTTGGCCTGTTTATAAAACAGTCTCTGGACTGTTTTAGTAGTGTTCTGCAAAAAAAAAAAACCACCCACTCTGTCTTTGGCTTGGGTTGATGTGTTTTTTAATTAGATATCCTAGAAGAAATAATGCAAGTGTAGTGCAACTACAATGTGTTATGCTGTTTTTATTCAAAGACACTGTCACTGAGGGTTTGGAATGACATGATAGACTGGGCTGTCTTAAACAATTTCTAGTAAGAAAGCATAAAAATGTTAGACTTGAAAAATGGAAGCGACTATTTTGGAATTAAAATTTGAACTTTGGTCTATAGCAGGTGAAAGACATCCTTACAGGCCGATATGTTGACTTAGATTTAGACAAGAAATAGATCATCTGGAGGGAGTTGCGGGGTTTTAGTAGCATTGTGTGAAATTTGAATATGGTTTAGTGTGTCATGTTTGAAAAGCAGGAATTTTTCAAAGTCTATCAAGAAGTAGATTGGTAATGAGAACATTTTATAGAAAATGTTTTCTAGTTGCATTTACAGAAACTCATTTAATTGTTTTGATACAGCTACTTTGTTAAAGAAAAATGGTTTCCTTACAGGCTCTTTTTCCCTGAGCTTTACATTTTCAAATGCTGAAATATAATGCTACTGTGTATTTCCTCTGTCTTTTTTAAAGCTGTTTTTCCTGAGACAGTACATCAAGATGCAGACAGGGTAACCATAAACCTTCTTGACATTGCTGCCTTGGCCATTTCATATGCATCTATCAAATCACTTTTTTTTTTTGCTGAGGTACTTCTGCAAGTTTGAAACTAAAAGGTCCTTCCTATGAATTCCAAGAAAAGTGTTTTGTTTCATTTTCTCGAGTTTTTCAATCGAGAAGGAAAAAAATTTTGTTCAAATGCCTATTTAACTGCATGTCATTGTTGATCACCAAATTAGATATTCTGCCCCATTCAGAGAAGAAAACTGCTTATGCACAACTCTTTCCATGGAGGGGGAGGACAGAGTGTCTTTTTTATCTTGCATTTGGAGTCTGGGCATGTGTTGCATGTGATGGCCTGGGCTTGGTTCCTGACTAGTCTCTAAGAACTACCTTAACTGCAACCTTACATCACTTCACCATAGATAATGGAGCACACATCCAGTTTATGGACTGCAGTGTCTCACAACGTTATGCTTTGATGACATCTCTGTCCATCTATATTTTGAGAAGGTATTCTATGTTTTTTAACACTTAATCCCTTTCACTCAGGGACTACTTCCATTATACTTTATCAAGAACATATTATGCAAATGTATGCAGTTTTGGGCACCACAATATAAGAAAGCTATAAAGAGGAAACTGAGGAGAGACCTCATTGCAGTCTACAACTTTCTTGTGAGGGGAAGAGGAGGGGCAGGCACTGATCTCTTCTCTGTGGTGACCAGTGACAGGAGCCAAGGGAATGGCCTGAAGTTGTGTCAGGGGAGTTTTAGGTTTGATATTAGAAAAAGGTTCTTCACCCACAGAGTGGTTGGACACTGGAACAGGCCCCCAGGGAAGTGGTCACAGCACCAAGCCTGACAGAGTTCAAGAAGCATTTGGATGATACTCTCAGGCACATGGTGTGACTGTTGGGGATGGTCCTGTGCAGGGCCAGGAGTTGGACTCTGATCCTTGCGGGTCCCTTTCCATTCAGGATATTCTATGATTCTGTGATGTGTGTTAATGTATACGCAGTATTTAAGTTTTTGTATTAGGAAGTGTAACATTGTGATTTTTCAAGCTAGAAATTTTGGGTTAAATACTTCAAGTTGTTAAATAGAGCATTGCTGCTTAACTTACCTGGAAAAGCGCTAACATTTAGAGGACAATAAATATACCATTGTTCTCAGTCCTTAAAAAAAAAAAGAGTTAAATTTATGAATATAAGATTATATATAATTTTGTTAAAAGTCAGGATTTAAAAATGAGCTGAAAGTGATGTTTTTGTTAAAAATCTGACAAAGTCCTTACTAAGTGCCATTGATTCATCCTGCTTTGTTTTAATACATATAATAAATTCAGACATGAGCAAGGATTGTCATGAGTTTTATTTTAAAGAGATTGACTTTTAAAAAGTATGTTTTCCAGTTCTTGTGTTAATTTTTAAAATTATTTTATTTTAAAATCTGACCTTTTGCTTCATAAGGAAGGTTGCTTAACACTATGGACCACTAGTGTTTTGCTGGTTTCTGCTTAATTAATTATTAGTGTTCACGTGCTGAATATGTAATTCTTTTTCCCTTTTCAGCTAAACTGGTGATATATTTACAGTTGAAGTAATCTTTTCATTCATGTTAGTTAAAAAAAGCCTTATTCTAAAGTATTTCAGCAGTTTTAAAACAACTTCTCCATTTTAGGTTAGTGAAGACCTGAAAACTGAACTGGCAAATGAGCTGTGTGCATCAACTCCTGGCCTCAGTCTGCCTAAAGTAAAAGAACAAATGTTCTATAAGGTAAGTAGAAATTGCTAAGTTCCTCAGATCTGCATTCGTTCTCTCTTAGTTAAATGTGCAGTTACTAGTTTTAAGTTTACCCAATACTAACAGTTAATCCAACTATCTAAATTAACTGAGACTAATGAGAGTTTCTCTGCTTCATGTGGGTATAAGGGTAGAGAGAGGGACTGGGAAAATGAAGGGAGCTTTAAACTACTATGAATGTCTTCTGTCCTCTTCTGCTATCCTTTGCTTTTGACACAGAAATGGCCTTAAGTTTTAATGTTTCCCAGACAAATGACTTAATTTGCCTGGCTGAAGGACAATTCAGGATGGAGACATTCTCAAATATCTGTTGCTGAAACTATGTTTGGTCTGATTTTATTAATCTGGAATTCATTTTGTGAGAGAACAAGGGGAGAGGAAAGAAGTTTCTAAATGGAGCCCACTGATTCTTTGGAGCGAAATTGGGTTCCAGATCTGTTAGCAAGACCTCTTAAATGTAGCTTACATGAATCAAATATTTCGAGACATCTGAAACAGAAGGCCAGCGGAAGTCCATTTTCAAATATCAAATCACTAAGCAGTGCAAAGCTACATAAATGAGTTAATAATTGTAGATAGGAGCTTTGAAGTATCTTATTTCGATGAGTTGGATGACTTTCCGTAAGCAAACAGTATTTTTCCACCAAAATAATGATCAGCTGTTCCTAAAGTCAGCGTGTAATTTCACAATCCTTGCATTTTGTCTGGAGACAGTGTTAAAGGACAGAGAAAGACTTAAAGCTTTACTGGTCCATCTTGAATCTCAGGGCTGTAAACATTGCTACTGCATTATTTTGCTCTTCCAAAATGTGTGTTTTTCTTCTTTCTCAGGTTGGACTTGCAGATGCTGTAGATCTATTTAGAACCAGAAGAGTATTTGTTAAAGATGGCTTTGCATATGTGCCATTTAAGGAGATTGATGCAATTGTTTTGAATAACTATAGAACAAAATTATCTAAAGCGTTGGCGGTAAGTCAGACAGTCTGATTTTTACAACTTTTGTTGCGTTATTTAGTGACACTCTGGGACAGTAGCTTTTTTGGACTTTTAAATTTATCTGCTTCCATCTGTAGAATACCAGAAATGCTATCAAAAACACTGACAGCACTAAAAAAGTTCATTATAAGCTGAGTGTTCATAAATTTTAAATGGAATTTAGCTTATGATGCGCATTGTAAAGAAATTTCTGCTAGAGGATTTTAGAATTGTTTCTCACAGAGACAGTAATATGACCTTTCATTCAAAATGTTAGCCCTATGCACACAACTGTTTTCTCCCGCAACATTTTGCAACAGTTTTTTGTTGGAACAAGTAAAATAGTTTTTTTTAATTTTTCTCTTTCTTTTGTTAGTAAGAACTGAAATGAGCTAAGTCAGAACATATCAGGCAAAAGTTAAGTCTTTGTTGTATGAATATTTGAGATATCACATCTGGTTAGGACATCTATAGTAAATACTGTATGTGAATGTTCTTCTGTTAGTAGTTCGGTGATCAATTCAGGAATTGCCAGTTTATGGTTCACTGGGTTTAAAAGTTGGTGACCGTGTCTAATGCACAGAATTTTAGTCCAAGAATATGCAGCATTGAATAACATGAAGGCAGTTTAGATTGCTTTTTGAATGTGTTTTCAAAGCCTTGTATTGCTATGTCACATTAATATCAAGGTTGACCATGAACGTTTAGTAAACAAACAGTGTGAGGTAAAAATGCTTTCCTTTAACAAATTAGAAAATTGGCATACTGGCATCTTCTTAATTTTGAATATAACTGGAGCCTGTGGAATTCTTTAATGTGCAATGAAAATTGTGATACTCTTATGTGAACATTTTCATTAGAACTCTTTAATACAACTGCAACTGGAGATATCTATTTCAGTTGATGCATAATGTTCTTGCTGAAAGCTGATAACATTTATGTAGGATTTAAAAACAATTAATGTTTCTATAGAAGTGTAGCTAAGTACACAGGTTATCTGCATCTATTTAAAGTACTTGTGAGAAGCTTTGTGTACTTCTGGAATTTGCCTGTTGTGTAAGTAGCTGAGAAGTCTGAAAAACAGTAGGAACTGTGATGAGTAGGCTTCCTGACTTTTCGGTCTGAGCAGAAATCTGCAACTTTTTCTTATGAATACATGCACTATATTACATATGAACACACGCACCCTATCTTACATGTTATTAATTTAACCCAGATTACTTTGTTAAAGCCAATAGCTGTTTTATAGTAAATATAGATACTTCATCTGTACATATATATATACGCACACTATATAAAACTTCTTTATATTATGCTTTGTAGTCATGGCTTAGAAATTTGAACACTTGTGAGCTAGGAAAATTATCTTCTACAGAACTGCTGTCTTTTAAGTTATTACAGTATTTCAGGTTTGCATTAATTTTTTGTTTTAATGCATAACCTTTGTTTATTGAAGTTGACCATATTTTCTGACTAAAGAATAAAAGAGGATTAGTGTTCTATTGCAGAGCTTTTGATTGAAGTTAGGGGTTTTTGATCACAGTTTAATGTGAGAAACTGTGTTTAATAAAGTGTTTCAGCTATTTTTAACCAGGACAGTGCACTGCTAAGAGATGCTAGGAATATTATTAATTGGAGTCTTTTGGAAATGAAGGGCAAAATTCCATCATGTTTTACAGAGGTCAATCTAACCTTATTCTGTTACAGCAGAGGCATAACTGAAGTGTGATACTTGGTAGCTGGATACTTAGTGTAGTTTTCAGTGGAACAAAACTATAAGCATGAATTACACTTCAGTAAAACTGTAAGAATACACTTTTAAATAAAGCATTGTATGAAGGAATCTTTTTCAAATCTAAAGATGGTAATGGTTGCTGTTCTGCAACATACAAATTTGGAGGATAATCTTTAATGATTTTCTTCAACCATATCTGGACTGAAGAGGCACATTTAAACAGAAGTTGTGACACAGTAGCACAATTCCAGTATTGTTTGTGAAAAGTGGTTGTTGAAATAGTCTTTGATGTAGACCTAAGTTCTGCAAGTACAGCTGTTTTAGCTGTACGTGGTAGGACATGGATGCTGGGAGTGTCTGCTGCAGAGGAGAAATCAGTCAAGAGAAATGTGCTTCACTTCAAGCACTTTGGTAGTATAGAGGTCTTGACTTTGCACAGAAGTTGTGCATCATGGTCAAACTTAATTAAGAAGTAATAGAGCATTAAACATCATCACTGGGCTGGTTATTTAATTTGTCTTTTAATGAATGTATTTGATAACATTACCACTTCAGTAAGCATTACTTATGTTTTCTTTGAGAGTATGTTTTAGTGATTTGCAGCATCTGGCTTTTTACACTTTGTTTTCAGCACTTTCCAATGGGCAATCCTTTTTTAATTTGAATTTGAGAATTAAACATTTTAACAGTGTGATAATCCAAATTAGGCTTGAATGCTGTTTCTAAAGAAGGGGTTTGTATCTTCACAGGGTCATAAAATTAGGTTAAATACTTGTATCTTCTGTGGGGTAGTTTGACTTTGGCCAATACTTCTGACTTTGACGGTCTGTTGTAAGCTTCTAAGGGACAAAATACCCTGATTATAGACAGTGGAAAGATGGTCTTTCAAACATATAGTTTTGAGGAATCCTTCTTACAGCTTTCATTAGTGGTTCAATTCTTCAAAGTTAAAGCAGTGTAGTTTTCTTGTATGGGTAGGTTTGCAGTTATAAGAATATAATAATATTGATTATTAGTACTTGATGCATGTTTTGCCTCCTGGAGCTTATTTGGTGCTACTCCAAGCAGTCACATGCACAGGTTTTTGGAAGGAGTTATGCCTACACAGGAGTGATTTTATGATGAAGGCCTGCCCTGTCTTTTCCAAGGTGCTCTGAAGCTGTACACCTCATGGGACTGTGCTTGTGCTAAAGTTGCTCTTCCTAGGTCTTGAAAGCATTGAATAATTTGGGTGGTTACCTAGTCTTGTTACATTGCTCACTACATTGCAGACTTGTGTCACCATCCTGCATGTTACAGAGTGATTCTAGTCGGGGTTGTAAAGGAGAAATAGAATGAGAGTAAATTGATGTGTTGACACAGCTTTGAAGAACAGTAAATAATTCATAGGACTGACCTTTTAAAAAAGTTTTATGTTGATACTGGCAGAAATTCAGTTCAGTCAGTTACACTTTAATCACTTTCTAGTCAAGCCCATGAAGCACTGAGCTGTTTTGGTTTATCCTTTAAAAATAAGTTTGACATCCTGACTGTGGCTGTTCCTTGAGGCTCAATAACAGGGGGAGTTAATATTAGTTAAGCCTTCTTGGCAATTGCCAAGTGCAACTGAAGAAGTTAATGTTATGTGTAAAATCAATACTGGGAAGACCTTTCTGTATTCTCTGACCCATTTGATAGTAAATAATTTCCCTGTGCCATTAATGATGATTAAACTAGAGGAAGGCTTAAACATTTTCTGTAACAGCATGTAAGCTGTAATGTTAGCTCTACAATTGTTTTATAACTTAACGCAATTTAAATTAATCAAAGTTTGCTTTGTGTTTTATTCATGAGGGTTGGTTTCACTGTGTTTATGCTAATACACAAAAATATGGATCTTATATTTGAGGAAAGTAGGATTTTTTGGTCGTTTTGTGTTTGGTGTTTTTTTTGTTTGTTTGTTTGTGTTTTTTTGTTTTGTTTTGGTTTTGTGGTTTTGTTTTGTTTTTTTTTTTTTAAATCAGAAGATTCACCTTAGTGTTATGGCTCAGACCAGCAGACCCACATCAGAACTGTGTTGTACTCAATACTGTACGAATTGGGATTGCTCCAGAGAAATCTGAAGTGGGACAGAAGGGGGAGAGGATGGAAGGAGCTGACAAATCATAATCTGCAACTGGCCTTTATCAACAGTGTCCTCAAATAATTGAGAAAATGACAATATTACATTGGCAGTTGTCTGACAGGTTTGAAATGGAGTTGGTGTTGGACAGCAGTTTGTCTCCACAGTTCCTGCCCTGTCTGGAAAACCACAAGGGGTGTAGGGGTGGGTGTTACGACCCGCCCCAGGAAAAGGGGAGGGGGGGTAACTCAGGTTTTTATCAATAATTCCCTTGGGGTGGATTAAAGTGAAACGACACTAAATAATTGGTGTCTGAAAACAAAGTTTATTTTAACAATTTTGTATCAACGGGTATGCTAGTGTTTTGGGTGTTGTCATACAACAATGCAACATAGAGATAACCTTTGGGGGGAGGAGAAACTGCTTAGAGGGGAGAAAAAACAGGATGAGAGTAAGGGAAAAGAGAAGCTGAGAGTGCAAAAGAAATGGACATAGTCACTGCCCACTTGATCCAGCGATGCTTGAGAGCGATGTTCTTGATTCGCAGGCGGTGGGGGAGAAGGAGAACCCCAAAATCCCAAAGTCACCAGTCAGTTTATATACCCTCAGCATGCTTTTGCACCTCCCTGGGACGAGGAGTTGTTTGCCTTTTTAGGGCTTAGCACTGGAGGGATGGGCCCAACTGCCCATCTGAGGTATAATGCAAAAGTCAAAAGCCTGCAAACTCCTGGAATGCATAAATCATTAACCATTTCAGTCTCTGACAGTGGGCAGCACCTCCCGCCTACCCCAAGTGTTGCAGCATTTGGTGTGAGCTTCCCTGTGCTGTTTGATCCCCTGAAATAATGTCATTTCTGAAGATGCGTTTAGATTTTTTTTAAACTGCTTTTCTCATAGTACCGTTTAGTACTTAGTGTCTGATACAAATCCTCCTCCTATGTGATTGATCAGAAAATCTTTTACATAGAGGTTATGATTTCGGGTGGAGCCTATAAAATGCTCCTTTTATTATTAAAATAACACTAGTAGTTTTAAACCTGTGTACTGGGTGCCAGTGGCCTGGCAACAGGGACTGCAGGGTAGCTTTGTGAAGAGAGGACAGGGATGCCCTGTGCTGGAAACACATTTCCAGCTGGCTCTGATCCACCCACCACAGGG